GTGTTTAGCAAGAGGTGTACTAACCACTTTTGTCTCTGTCATGTTGAACCTCTTGAGTACTTTCTCAATATAAACCTTCTGGGATAGTGATAACTCCTTGTGTCTATCTCGATGAATTTGTATGCCTAAGATCTTCTTTGCTGGCCCCAAGTCCTTCATCGCAAACGATTTGCTTAACTCTTTCTTAAGGACTACAATTCTAGATTTATTTTTGCCAACGATTAGCATATCATCCACATAAAGTAGTAAGATGATAAAATCATCATCAGAGAACTTCTGAAAGAATACACAATGATCTGAAGAAGTTTTCTTGTATCCCTGATTTTCAATGACAGATTCAAACTTCAAGTACCACTACCTTAGAGCTTGTTTCAAGCCATACAAGCTCTTTCTCAATTTGCAAACATGGTTTTCTTTTCCTTTAACTAAGAAGCCTTCAGGTTGCTCCATGTAGATCTCATCTTCTAAATCACTATGAAGAAAAGCAGTTTTGACATCCATCTGCTCAACCTCTAAATCTAGACTTGCGGCTAAAGCTAGAACCATACGAATAGAGGACATTTTCACAACTGGAGAGAAAATTTCATCAAAGTTAATTCCCTTTCTTTGACCAAAACCTTTGACAACTAACCTAGCCTTGTATTTAGGTGCAGATGTATGTTGCTCTTGCTTTAATCTGAAGATCCATTTATTTGTTAAAACTTTCTTACCTTTCGGTAACTCCACTAGCTCATATGTGTCATTCTCTTAAAGTGACTTCATCTCGTCTTCCATGGCTTCTACCCACCTATCTCTATGAGTATCTAACATGACTTCATCATAACCTTCAGGTTCTTCCATGTCAGTCAAAAAGATATACTTATTAGGAGAATAACGTGTTGAGCTTCGCCTCTCTCTAGTAGATCTTCTACAAGAGGTTTCTGGAACATCCAAATTTGTCATCTCAGCATTAGTTGGTTGATGATCAACCACAATATCACCAATAGGAACATCTATAGGTTCTACACCCTGATCATTATCTTGGGTTCCTTCATGTGCAAAAGATGTATCAATAATAGGAATTGGATCAACATCAACTAAGCTCTCATCAATCTGAGAATCTGGTTTCTCAACCTTGTCAATATCTTCAATAGTTTGATCTTCAAAGAACACAACATCACGACTTCTAATGAGCTTCTTATCAATTGGATCATAAAAGCGATATTCAAACTCATCTTGACCATAACCAATGAAGATGTATTGCTTAGTTTTAACATCCAATTTTGACCTCTCATCTTTTGGAACATGCACACAAGCTTTACAACCAAATACTTTCAAGTGATCATAAGAAACATCCTTACCAAACCAAACTCTATTTGGAATATCACCATCCAAAGCAACAACAGGAGACAAATTGATAACATAAGCAACAGTGTTAAGTGCTTCAGCCCAAAATGAATTTGGAAGTTTAGCCTCTGAAAGCACGCATCTAACTCTCTCAACTAAAGTTTTGTTCATCCTTTCTGTCAGGCCATTTAATTGAGGAGTCTTTGAAGAAGTCTTCTGATGACGAATTCCTTGCAATTTGCAGTAGTTATCAAAGGGACCAATAAACTCACCACCATTATCAGTGCGAATACATTTTAATTTCTTTCCCGTGTGTCTCTCAGATAAGGCTTGAAACTCCTTAAACACATCAAATACTTGATCTTTGGATTTTAAAGGATATACCCAAATTTTGCGAGAATGATCATCAATGAAAGTTGCAAAGTAAAGCGCACCACTTTTTGACTTCACTTTAAAAGGACCACACAAATCAGAGTGTACTAGCTCCAGTAGCTCAGACTTTCTTGAAGGAGGATGATTGTGAAAAGAAACTCTTTTCTGTTTCCCAGCTAAGCAATGAACACATCTTTTTACCTTTGCTTGTTTCACACCAGCAAGCAAATTCTTCTTAGCCAAACAGGTGATCCCCCTCTCACTCATATGACTAAGCCTCTTGTGCCACAATTCTGATAAAGTCTCACTTTCCACCAAATTTATAGATACTCCAAGAATCGATCCTTGTGTCACGTATAAATTTGAATGCTTTCTTCCTCGAGCTACAATCAATGAGCCTTTGGTGAGCTTCCATTGGCCATTGAACAAGTCATTATGATAGCCATCATCATCTAGTTGTCTTACAGAGATCAAATTCAAGGGAATGTCTGGAGCATGCTTGACATTCTGAAGGACTAACGTTGAACCAGTGTTGGTTTTCAAACAAACAGTGCCAACACCAAACACCTTAACCTCACCAGTATTACCTATCTTTAACACCTCAGAGTTAACAGAAGTATAAGATGCAAAGAAGTCTTTTCTTGGTGTGACATGTGATGTAGCTCCAGAATCTACTATCCAACTTGTATCTTGAGATACAAAATTGATGACGTCTTTATCACAAGCAAAAAGAAGGTCATCTCGAACAACAGCAACAACATTGTTTCCATTATTTTCTTCCTTCTTCTCTTCTTTAAGATCTTGCTTCAATTGTTTGCAAAATCTTCTAATATGTCCTTTCTTTCCACAATGATGGCATATAATATTTGGATTCCTGAATCTTGACTTGCTTCTACTTTTACCTCTACTTTTCGGATCTCTTGTCTTATCTCTCCCTCGATCTTCTATGTACAAAACATCTGAATGTGAGGATGTGCCTTGAGATTTTCTTCTAACTTCTTCATTCAACACACCACTTTTTGCATATTCCATAGTCACCTTACCACTAGGAGCATAATTTGTTAAAGAGACACGGAGAGTTTCCCAAGAATCCGGTAGAGTATTAAGAAGCCAAAGTCCTTGTATTTCATCATCAAAATTAACACCCATTCCTGATAGTTGATCAAGAACACCTTGAAAATCAGTTATGTGATCAAGAATAGGATTGCCCTCCTTGTATTTAAAGGTCATCAATTGCTTTAGCAAGAACAACTTGTTATTGCCAGTTTTTGAAGCATAAAGCATCTCCAACTTTTCCCACAATGGTCTAGCATGTGTCTCATTCACAATATGGTTGCGAACATTATCTTCAACTCATTGTCTTATATATCCACATACTTGTTGGTGCTCGAAATCCCAATTTTCATCGGTCACAGTCTCAGGTTTATGAGCAGCAAAAACGGGATGATGCATCTTCTTCACAAACAATAGATCTTTCATCTTGCTTTTCCATATGTTGTAGTTTCTTCAGTTTAGACATACCATCTTGCTCATATTCCCCTCCATATAGAGAACCTCACTCTGATACCACTTGTTGTGACGAAAAGATGAAAACAAAAATCTAAAATAAAGAACACCAAGTTTAACGTGGAAAAATCCTTCGAAACGTCGACAAGATCCGAATTGCTTCACTATAACAATAAGAGAGTTACAATTATTCTTGTAATGGCTACACAACAAGTGCCAAAAGAGAACAAACAGTAGCTACACCAACAAAAGATAAATAGAAAGAAACACCACCCAAACTCAGCTGTTATTCGGGACCTAAAACAGGATCTTTCTGACTTCAGAATCCGATCTTCACCGTTCAAATCAACCGCCAAGATGTTAGGAACACTCAGTACAAATTTCAGCCCGATCCAACGGTTAGTTAATCGGAAAACACGATCTGAAGGTTGCTGATCGGAATAAAATACTGCAACAAAAGAACCCTTTTTCTTCTCTCTTATCTCTTGTTGAAAGCTCTCGCAAAAAACTTCTCTTATGTCCTAATGTCTTTCAAAGACAATACTAATGAGCAATCTAAATTATTATCTCAAGACCATCCTTTATTTATAGAGTTGTGCTTTTCCTTACAAAGCTAAAACCAACTCCAAATAGGATTACTATTCCAATCCTTTTCCTAATAGAATTGGAAACCAAATAAAGAGAATAATTCCAATCTTTTTTCAAGTAGGATTAGGCCATGGACCTTTGGCTGGAACACGGGCAATAGCCCAACATATCTCCCTAATTATTTGTCCACTTTTGAATTGACACACCTATTAAGAAAACAATGATTGATATGGTGAGTTTATCATTTTTTTCTCTATTAATTATGAAGTTGATGAATTAAAAACTTAAGGTTTTCAAGAAGTTAAACATTTTTCAAAGTAATTAATTGAGGATATAATAGGTAAAATTTTTTATCATTTCTTGATTTGTCAAAATGAACAACTAATTAGAAACAACTAAAAAAGAAAAAGTGGACAAATAATTAAGGATAGAGGGTACTAAATTACTTTATTTATTACCGTGCTGCTGACTTGTTAATATTGCCTAAAATGGGCTGCTCCTTTTCAGTGTTTCATTTTTGGTCCTGCAATTAATTACTTTCATTAATTAGTTGGATTCTCCAAATAATTTATCACTCACAGCTTTATATTTTATCCCAACTTAGGAATGTTTATAATGCTTTGTCAAACTTTAAGTAAGTATTCCTTCTTTTTTTTTTTTTTGCCTAAATCATCAATTCCATCCAATTGGGAAAATGGTTTATTACTCCCTTCATCTCATATTAATTGTCCACTTTATTAGAAATGATTGTCTTAAATTACTTGCCAATTTATCAAACCAAAATGAAATTATTGATTTAAACAATTTTTGTAACGGTTTTAAGAGGTCAAGTGTTGCCAACATGTTGTGACCAAATATAACATCTTTACAAACATAAAGTTGCACGTTTTTCCCTTTAATTGGGTTGATCTTTAATTTTTATCTTTTAACAATTGAACTTATGCCTAGTAAGGCATACGTTCCTTAGAAACTGACGTCATGTCCAAACAAAAACTTAAAGTATATAACGATATGAAAATATAAACGTATGGCTACGAGAGACGAGAATTTAACAAGCAACACAAAATATGGGCAAAAGTGCATATGACCCTTTACAAAGTGGCATATGATAAAGCACATATTGAAAAGCATCCACCATAAAACAGGTTAAGTAAAGTGAGTTGGTTAAGAACACACAGCATGACAAGAACTCTAAGGGAGGAGCCAAATAGAAGAATGCAACTTTTATAGTTACTCTCAATTTACATCTTTTTAAGTGTATTATATGTTGAAGAATTATAAAGATTACATACAATAATCACACAATAAAACAGCAGCAGGAGCAAGAAATTCAACTGTTGTAGATTTCCCTTAGTACTCCTAAAACCTGGTTCGCTACTTCTTGCCCGAAAAGCCTAGGGAAGCTTGATTCAAGATCTATCTCGATAGTCTTATTCTTAATTATTCGATCCCTCTTAGCCAGATCTGCACTTTCATCATCTGTCAATCTTCTCTCAGTACAAGCACACAGATCCAACCATGTATCCAGCATTACCTTAGCAACAGGACTTATGTGATCCTGAATAATCTCATCAATGCGAATGGCCTGGGAAGGTTCGGTTTCTATAGAAACCAAGATAGCCGATGGAGAGACTAGGGATCGAATATATAGAGACGAAGAGAAATAAGGCTTTACCTCAGGTAATTTCTCGAGAAGTTGTCTCTGCTTGTCTAATTGTGTTTCCTCATAAAAGGTCTTGAGGTAATCAGGATGTTGGACAAGGTCCTTTCGCGGAGGTAGATCAAGAATAAGGATGAGAGTTGTTGGACTGCTGCGGATAACTTCAATTAAGAAGTTTGGTGCATCAGTTGAAGGTCTCAAATATGCTGAAAGGCTTGTAATATTCAACGCTCCGCCTGTGGGTAGGTTGCAGTGAACCCAACTACCAAGTATGAAATCAACCTGTCACAATTTAGAAAAGGCAAAAATATTAACCTTGCATATACTCCTGATGAGAAAGTTGAAATCGTTAACTGTGTGTTCCCAGTTTATCTTTTATTATACGCGTTAGAAAAGGAACATTAAATCTCAAAGAGAAACAAGATTTGTCAAAGAACTCTCAGTGGAACTACTAACTATAAGCAGAGGAATGGAACTGGAGAAGAATAAATGAACAGAAGCCAGATCCAAATTCAAGAATGAACAAGCATAGGAAGATTAGATTGATGAACTAATTAGACTTCCTACTTGCTATCTCCATGATGCTTTTGCAGTCCTTATGTATAACTTCCCCAAGAAGATATCGGGTGAACGCAACTAGCAGAAATGCAGTAAACTACAAATTATGTACAAGGATAATTCTTGAATCGAGCTGTTAGATTGGTTGGTCAATTTTGGATGCATATTCTCTCTAGCTTCTCTATATGAAGATCTATTGATCTTTTCAGCAAACACCCAAATGGTGCATCGGAACCCACCTAAAACACTAGTTATACATCCACAATCCATACTCATCTCAACCAACTGCAGCCTCTCCTACACCGACAACTCAGCAAAACACACCTGCTCTCCTACAACCCCCAATTGCTAGTTTGAACCAATCCACCCGAGAAATCCCAAACTCACCAAAATCAACTCCTTCTAACACCAACAACCACAACAACACCAAAACATCATCCCCTATATCTTCCAATCCTTCAGAGGAACAACACATGGACAGTAATAAGCTCCTAAAGCTTGCCCCCAATAATTCTCCAGAACCTCCAAGATGCCATTAACACTCAGCCTACTCTTTTTCCGATCACCATGCAACACCTCAACAGGAAAACACTGCCCATTCGAAATCCACCCACCAAAATCATACACCCCCTCAGCCAAAAATGTCCTCAGATTTCGACACACCCTCTTCAAAATTGAAATCGGTTGCCGCGACCAACATCAATGAAACTGATCATAACCCTGCTGCCACTGATAAAAATCCTGCTATAACCAATCTTTCAAGCCCAGATCAGAAACCCCAATATTCAACTCCAACAGAAAAATCCCAATTTAGCAGGGAAAGGTAAGGGTGTTGCTCCATCGAAACCAACCTTCGCAGAAAGGTTCAAGCTGATTTGGCGATTGCCTCAACCGCCGAAGCTCCTATTGAAATCAGGCATGAGACTCATCTCGGTAAGCCAACCATATTTTTCTCTGCTGATGACTATTTCGTGAATTCGGCCAATAATTGCAAATGACTATTGTGGGTAAATTCATCAAAGGAACCTACTATGAAAGAACTAAGGAAAATTTTTGTGAGTCAATTTCAATTGAAAGGAAGAGTCAAGATTGCATACTACGACTACAGCACTGTTTACATTGATTTTCTGTAACAAAACAGACTTCAATCACATATTTTCAAGTCATTCATTCACATTGGGTCATACACTATGAAATTCCTGAGATGCGCACTGAATTTTAAACCAGAGCAAGAAACTTCTATTGTTCCAGTTTAGATACTAGTTCACAAACTACCTCGGCACCTATTCAGATGGGAACTCAGTGCCACCAGATATTGAAGTTGGGAAAGCTTATGTGAGAAGGAGAGATTGCAGATCATAAGAATTTTCCCCTTACAGCTCCTCAAGCTAAGGGAGGGGCAACAAGCAGAGATCAAACTACTTTGACAAGATCACAGCAAAACTAGTTGAGATGCAGTTCACAGAACATGCTACAAACTATTAAAAAATTAGTGGGAATTCGCAGCACATTTCACGAATTGCGTTTGTTTTATATTTTTTAAATGTAACAAATGGACGTTAGGGGTCATCCGTGAAAAATATGGCAGTTTGCAGTACAATTCACAAACAACCCCTTTTGGTATGTGATTTTTATGACAACCCCTTTTGTTTATTGGCTTTCAAAACGTGCCCTTTAGACTCTAGACACCAGAATCCATTGATAGACTTAAAACTCAAAAGGAGACACAACATTGCTTTAAGGGCCTGTTTTTACATTTGCCATTTGGCTTATATCATTTTCTTTTTTGAGAAAGTTAACATTTTGAATACTAACAACCCATATAATAACCTATTATAGAATTAGGATGCTTTTTTTTCATCTACAGTGGGGGTGTTTGGATTGACTTTTTTTAAGTAGCTTATAAGCTAAAAGCTAAAAGTCATAAGTTGGTCGTGCCCAATTTTTGGTTTTTAACTTATTTTTGTACTATTTTCGCCTAAAAATAAGTGCTTAAAAGCACTTTTTGTCTTTCCCAAACACCTCAAAAATAAAAAGGAACTTAAAAGTCAAAAGCTACTTAAAATAAGCTATAATCCAAACACCTTTCTTAGAGCCATGTCCAATTAAAAGGAATTTTAAGATTGTTATTTACTAGAAAGGGCAAGATATATGGCTTGAACAAGAAATACTAAATTTGAAATTAGCTAAAAAAAAAACAGATTTGATAAAGATCTTGTCTGACTTCATTGGATGGAGAAAACCACAGATTCACAGAGTAATACAAATACTTTTTTGACAAACAGAGTAATACAAATACTGCTGATCTTCTTAACTCCCATCAGCACATTATACAATTAAGTATTTGGCATTTCAATTCATGTTACTATTATTAAAAGACTGATATATTTAGCATACATAGTAAAAAGGCCAATCAACAAAAGCACAATTCGTAATGGATTAACTCTTCTGTATAAGCCAAATCCACTAAAATTAGATGACAAGATCTAGCTTTCTCAATCATTATTCTATAGTACATAATAATTTTCTTGTTTTCTTTATCAACTTCACCATGTACAAGATAGCAGTGACATCATTCATATTGGAGGGTATTAGGAGAAAATTCTTGGCGCATTTTTTTGGTCTCACGTAGGAGTGATGCAACAATGTTGTCAAAGGCGTGCTTTAAGAATGCTCAATCCCGGAAGCAAGGCTCAAAGTATGTTGAGCACTTTGCCTCGCTTAATGTGCACTTCATTGTCGTCATTAAGTCCCTAAGACAATCTTTTCCTTGCGAATAAGGGTTCTAAGCTATTGGTATCACACTTTATTATAAAAAGATCAATTTCTTTGTCCATAAATTTGTCATTCATGCTTATATTTATTAGTCTTGGATACATATAATATATTTGTATTTTTTCCCTATTGTGTCTTTTTTCATTAAAGCTCAAGCTTTATTTGTATTTCAGGCTTAAAGTCCCAGCCTACTTTAAAGTTTTTTTGCGCTTTTCGTTTTTCATAACATTGTGATGCAACAACACAAAATTAAGATAAAATGGGATGAGAAGGAGTATATTCACTCGAATCTCAGTCTTGCTAAATATAGTTGCCTGAATTGGATTATCCGCTTGAGTTTCCATAGAAGCTTTTATAACATAGATGTAACCCATTCCTATATACTAATTCAACAAAACATCCAACAGGAAGTAATTCCTATATCATACTCTAATACATATAATTGGCACAAGTGCAGAAATGAATGAATTGGTAATAAGTAGTGGAATCAGTCGGAGAGTACCTGAGAAGAGGAATTTCCAGATCTGACATAGAGAGAAGCATGAGCAGTAGCAGATTCATTCTCAAAATACTGCACATGAGAAGGCAGAGTACAAGGAAGTAGAGCTTCTCCAAGACGATTCTCCACAGTCGATACAAGTTCCACCATTAACTCTCTATGCGGAACAGATGCATAAGGAAATTCCTTGAATTTCGATTCATGATGTTCCATGGAAGTTGACGACGACGAACAAGACAAGCGTTTTCCGACGTAAAAAGAGCGAGAAGAGGGAAGTGGTTGGGTGAGAATTGAAGTGTGAAATTGGGCAGAGAAGAGTGGAACGGCCATAGCAGGAGGACTGCCATGTCCACTCCTATCTCGCTGCTTTTTGGGAAGAAAAGGAACGTCACGTGCCGTGTGGGACTTCTTTTCTATCTAACGTCGTCGTTTGAGTTTTTATATATATGAAGATGTAGGTGTTTAGCCATGCGATTTCATATCATCATATGAAAATTGGTGTTTAGCCATGCAATTTCATATTAGTGTTTCAATATGTAATTTCATGTTTATTTCATCTCGTGATTTTATATTATGAGATAAATGTCAAATTTCCCAAAAATCATGATTTAGAATACAAAAATTGGTCAACAAATTTATATTTTCGTAAAACAGCCTAAGTTTAATTTATATATATTTACTAGTCGTTTGTTTTATATGTAAATAAAATTTATAATTCATATCATTACTTTTCAAAACGTTTATATCTCATATAACGATTATTTTCACCAATATAAATTTATTTTTACTTCAAATGCAGTTCTTAATTTATCAATTATATCTACGAAATTTATTACTCCCTCTGTCTCAATTTATATGACTTACTTTCCTTTTTAGTCAATCCCAAAAAGAATAACATATTTCTATATTAAGTAACAATTTAACTATAAAATGTCTATTTTACCCTTACTAAAATGATTTACAGCCACACAAATTTCTATCATTCATTTTGAACCACAAGTTTTAAAAGTCTTCCTTTATTTCTTTAACTCTGTGCCGAGTCAAAGTACCTCACATAAAATGGGACGGAGGGAGTATATTTTATCAAATTTATTACTACATTTTTTTTAAAACTTAAATTGCCCCATATAGACCATAAAATACTAAAAAGAAACTTTCGCATATAACCACTCAAAAATAACATAATTACGCTTCATAGCTATAATTTGCTAATTATCATTCGTAGCTATATGTAATACGGAGGAGAGTGGTGAGCGAGATTGGGAGAGGGAGGAGATAGACGAGCGAGAGAGGGCAGAGAGTGAGAGAGAGGTGAGTTGTATATGTATATTGGTTAGATAATTGTGTATTATACATATGTATTTGTATATATGACAAGCGAGATTGGGAGAAGGAGGAGAGAGGCGAGCGAGATTGGGAAATGGAGGAGAGAGACAACTACACGTTTATACAAACTTTAAAAAACTATACACAAAAAGATTGAATATATATATGGTGACAAAAAAAACCAAAGGAAATCATGGTCATATACAAATACAAACTATCGTATATAAATACAAATCAAACAAAGAAGTGTTAATTGTGAATTATACAAATGTGGATAAGTATACAAACGTGACTAATTATACAACTCGAAGTCAACCCATGTAATTAATGGTTAATGTTAATCGCGAGTGGTAATTATAACAAACTATAACTATGATGAGTAATTAAATAGTATAAATTTGCTTAATCGCGTAATTTTCCATAAAATGGATAATAAAAGGGATAAATCCAATTACAATATGCAAACCTAAAGGAGCCAAATGGCCCATATACGTATTAGGAAACAAAAACTATATGTTGAAACAAAGTCCAGCTCTCTCTTCTTCTTCAATACAAAATTTTCAGCACATTGGACGTCGATTGAGTGGTCTACTCCGACCGGCGTAAGCTCCGATTGTGCAGGTACAACTCGACCCCTTCCTTTCCTCTTCTCTTCAGCTCCGATGGTCTTCTCTGATTAGCTCAACTACTGGGTACCTTCCGACCCCTTCAATCCTTTATTTATCATTATTGTTCTTGATTTGAGAACTAGACTGAGGTAGTTTTCAACGAACTTAAATTCTTCCCCTTTTTGGTTAAATGAGTTTGATGAATTAAATAAGTCTATTCTTAAAGAAAAAGGCTTCAATGACATAGCATGCCAACTAGGAGAGTGTAAAACTTTTGAAGTGTTAAGTATATTTGAAGGAAAATAATAATAGTTAAAGTAATATTTTGATTCTAAATGAAATATAAAAGATATTTCAAGACAATTCCATAAACTTAGGTGAACATTTAGAAAATTGACTCTTTTATTCTTAACAATAATTGTTTTTTTTTTTTTAAGATTACAAATATTTTAATGAAGTGAAATTATATCTTCTATAAATAGACTGATATAGTCAAATAAACTCATCTTAATTGATGTTTTCTTAAAAAATTGTAAAAATAACTCGCTTCTCAGGATATATGTGCCCCTGAATTCAGTTACCTATTAGATTATTTTATTTGTGACTCTCTCTGTCCACTTTTATTTGTCATGTTGCGTTTTTCAAAAGTTAATTTGATTAAGTTAAATTAGATTACCTTAATTTGATATTTGAAACAAAAAATTTAGATATTCAAAAACTAGACGAAACGTACTATAAATTGCATTTTTTTGTATATCAATATGATGAAAAAATATATAGTAAAATGTTAGTCAATTTTTTTATAGTTTAACTAAAAAAGAAAATTATGACAATTAAAAGTGAACGGAAATAGTACAGTGTTGCTAACTTGTTAATATTGCCTTAAATGGGCAATTACTTTTGAGTGTTTCATTTTTGGTCCCGCGATCAATTACTTTTCTTAATTAGTTGGATTCTCCAAATAATTTATCACTCACAACTTTATATTTTATTTATCCCAACTTAGAAATGTTTATAATGCTTTGTCAAACTTAAGTATTCCTTTATTTTGTGGGTCTGAATCCTCAATTCCTTCCAATTGGAAAAATGGTTTATTACTCCCTTCATCTCATATTAATCGTCCATTTTATTATAAATAGTTATCTTAAATTACTTGTCAATTTATCAAACCAAAATAAAATTAATTAAAATTTATCTCTCCAATGCATCTAATGTGTGTTCGATTCCAGTTCTATATTTGTTGAAGTGAAGCACTAGCTTCATTGATTTGAATTCTATGGTGTGATCTAAGACAGTTCATAACTGAATCAAAACCAATAACCTAAATCGAAAAAAAGTTATTAATCTATTAGTAATCAAATTATTGATTTAGCAAGTTTCACCCTATCAACACACAGCATGACAAAAACTCTAGGGAGGAGCCAAATAGAAGAATGCAACTTTTATAGTTACTCCCAATTTACATCTTTTTAAGTCATATGACAGAGTCTATAAGAATAATGTTAAATAAAGTATATTATTAATGATTGTATTAGCAATGCATGTATTAGTTATGCTTACATATACATAGATTATTTTAATGCATAATTTGGTTTAGTGCATTAAAAATAGTATGTATTGCATTAAAAAAATTATTTACAAAGATACCCTCCACTTTATGGTGGAAAAGATGTAAACAAAGATTTTGTGGGGCAATTGAGTCTTTTATCATGTTAATGCATGCATTAAAACCATTGCATTGTTAATACCTAAAAATCCATGATATTAGCAATGCACACCTTAATACACAATAGAATGTATAACTAATGCTTGGTTGAAAAAGAGTATCAAACAAGATACTAGTAATACACAAGACTAGTACATGCATTATTTTTTCTAATACACTCTACCAAACGACTCCTTAAAAAGAATTATAAAGATTACATACAATAATCACAATCAAACAACAGCAGGAGCAAGAAATTCAACTATTGTAGATTTTCCTTAGTATTCCTAAAACCTGGTTTGCTACGTACTTCTTGCCCGAAAAGCCTAGGGAAGCTTGATTCAAGATCTATCTCGATAATCTTATTCTTAATTATTCGATCCCTCTTAGCTAAATCTGCACTTTCATCATCGATTTGTCAATCTTCTCTCAGTACAAGCACACAGATCCAACCATGTATCCAACATTACCTTAGCAACAAGACTTATGTGATCCTGAATAATATCATCAATGTGAATGGCCTGGGAAGGTTTGGTTTCTATAGAAACTGTTAATGTTGGTAAGCAAAACTAAAGAGGACAAGTCAAGTTCGGAAAATTATAAGTTAGTAGTTCCATTAGTTAGTTAAGATTTCTTACTAACTATTCAAGAAGCACTGTATATATATAGATAGGATTCTACTCTGTAAAGTTCAACACATCAATAAGAATATTGAGAGATTTTAGACTCTCAAGGATAATTCTACTTCTTAAGAGATTGTGTCTTCTTCTTCCTCTTTATCTTCTCCTGCTTCTTATTCTCTTTCTTCTTCTTTTTCAATCTAGTCTTCATAAACTACATGGTATCAGAGCTTTCAAGCAAGATATTCATTGCTTGATTCTGAAATTCCGCAAGTTTTTCTCAATTGACATTAATACAGATTCAAAAGTTCGAAGTTGGTTCAAGAAATGGCACCGAATTCTGCTGATTCTCAAGGTCAAGCCACGAGTACCAATGGAGGAGCTGTAGCTGTGATTGATCACAATCATCAATTGTTTGTAACACCCCGGAAATTCTATGACTTAAGTTAGAGCCTCACCTTATGAATAATGACTTAAAAATAGTTAAAATGATGTTTATAAACCTAAACTAATGTAATTGACTTGGTTTGGAAGAGTAAAAGTCTAAACGTCAAGAAACGACCACGACGTTCGAAAACTAGAGAAGAATGTGTTCTAGTGTGTCCTAGGTTTTGGGCAGGTTTGGGAGTGTCGTATGATAGTATAATCTGGTGAAAAGGTTTAAAATAGGTAAATATATGTTCCTAGGGTCAAAACGTTCGAATACGACTCCCCGGGGCAACCTTAAGGGGCCCCGAGGAGGACCCCAACCTTAGCCAAGCAAGCTGCCTTTGCACTTAGAGGGAATAAAGGCGCGTCGCGCACTTGCTCCCCCAAGGAGCAAAAAGTCAGTTCGCGTCGTGGACTCTAATGTCTCAAAATTTAATTCCAAATATCTTCAGGGAACAGCTCCGCGTCGCGGACTTGTTCCGCGATGAAAATGCAGAAATTTAGAAATCTATTTTTACTTCATTAAAGAGTCCATTTAAGTGAGGGGTATTTAGGGTACTTTAGGGGACGTGTATATAATGATTTTTAAGTCAATTTACCTCACTTTTATCACTCAAACACAAAACCCCAAAGATCTAAACCTAAAGTTCCTCCTTCTCTC